AGGTCCTTATACAGGAATTTGATCTTTTTGTTTGTTTTTTGTATTTTAGTACAAGGTCTACAGGGTCTATAGGATCTCACTATGTAGATCGGACTCATAGTGATCCACCTGTGTTCAGCCTCGCACGAGCTGGGATTACAGGCGAGGGCCACCACGCCCAGTCTCAGCATGCCCTGGCGGCAGGGCCAGCATGGCAGGCTGGGGATCCAACACCTGGCCGCTGTGTCTGCCTATGCAGGTGCTTTAATCCACTGGGCTATTTGGCCAGTCCTAGGAATTTAAATTAGACAGCCCTATTTAAAAATTCTAATGTAAGTCAATAAAATTCCATGACCATTTTTTAAAAAAAGGCTGGGCACCTGCCAAAATGAGCTGACTGAATATTCTTAGGTCATATTACATTTTAGCCAAGATGTGGATAATTTACTAAAATTGCTTACAATTTTATCTTCTAAAGATGGGTTTGGGTGGCACTCAAGGAACTACAGAAAAACGCATGCAACTGTGAACTGACAAGTATTGTCAGTTGTTAAAATTTTTTTAACAAAGACTTTGTTGAACTAGGACATGCCAAAGATGAAAGTTTGCTACGTACGAACCTCTGAGCTATGAGACAAGCTGGGGCTCTTCAGCCCAACACAGCTTGACTCAACAATGGGCAACGTTAGATGGAGATTTTGGGGGCATCTTCTTTCTAAGAGGAAAGCGTTACATCTGTTGCTACAGTCTTTGCTCAAGTGGGCTGTGGCCAGACCGTACTCACTGGGAGCTCCTCAAAGAGCCTCACAATTATCCACATCTTTCCCGGTGAACTACTGTTTAGAGCTGCCAGGGAATAAGGAAAGCGTGCTTTCGAGTGGAGGTGGCATGGGCGAAGAAGGTGTGCCGGTCAGTTCCCCAGAAAGAACCTTTGGACATGCTATCATTCCGCTCCCTTTCAGAATGGTCTCTGCTTATCCCTCTTCTACCTGAGCAACACAGAGTGGCCTAAGAGGATTTAGGTTGTTACCGTGCTTGGTACTGGAGCTACAAAGGTTTTCCTGCCAGATCCCAGTGATAAGACTTTTACTTTTTAAAGATTTGCCTCTGAAACTGCTCAAGTAGGCTGCTGAGGATATAAAGACCTTCTCATGAAACGCTATTTTTGTTAAAGTTATATGAAATCATTTCATCTACCAGAAACGAGATAAAAAGTATAAACAGTATCAAACCTTTTCTTCATTAGACCCAGTTGGTGGACAACTAAGGCTTAAGAAGCTGTCTTCCCGCATATGGTTTTCGCAGTGCCTACATTTAATTAACAATTCCTTTTTCTCACATGTTAATGCTTCTCTAATGCTGTCACCACTCTCTGTTCAAGCTCGACATTCAAGAAGGGCCTCCGGCCCACAGCATGACTTTGTCCCATGAGACCAGGCTGTAGTTTTATGAGAACACAGTCGCAAACATGGCATGAATATTCGGAGTTAAGGCTAAACTACAAAGCTGACATTTCCAACTGCTGGCAGACGATTAAATAAGTAGATCCTGTTCCACATACAAATTAACATGAAGCTTGGGAAAGTCCGGCCAGCACACATTCCAGGCTTGGTACTGCATTTTCCTTTGTTTTAAGCATTTGAGTCACTTATGCTTAAAAATTGCCAACTGAATTTTTTTTTTTCTTAAAATCCAGGCCAGATTAACAAAGGCGCTTCTTCTTATGCCCAAGAATGTGCCATGTAAGGGAATGTTTTGTTATAAGTTTGCTTTGTTGAGTTTATTTTCAGTGTGATGTTTAAATAACACAGCCTGAAAGGGACAAATAGAAGGTCCCTTGTCTTTATGCCCCCGTGGGGGAACTTTGTTATTTTGATGAACAAAGGAATCGATGTGCTTCATTTGCTTAATACAACAAAACTGATGGAAGCAACAGGATCAATGAGGGGAGAAGGACTTGGCCAGAGGCTCCTTCTTCGGGGGTCTGGGGTACTCTCTTTGCTGCCTTGTCAAGTCTAGATCCTGTGCTGTGAGGGAAAGGTGCGCTCTACCTGCTGGGTGTCCACAGGGCAGCCTGGAACCACAGGGAGAAGACAGCTAGGAAAAGGCCATCAGACCCTCCGGCAGCCTGTGCCCTGGTGCTGACTCCAGCAGGAGGCGGGTGTGCGTGCATGCTCAACAGCTCCTGGAAGCCAGCTTGAAGAGACGGAAAACGCTTCCTTCCCAGAACTCAACATGAGAGTAGGTTTGCCTCCGTAAGTTCATAGAGGCTCTCAGAGGGATTCCAGATGCCCCAGAGTCTGAACAGCAAGAAAGGAAGCCCTCTTTTAGCCTACTTTCCACTCCCCAGTATCTTAGGGAGGTCACCATGTGGAAGCTGCGTTGGTTTCAGGACATGAAATTCCTCCACATGGGCTTAGGTGGACAACATAGTTGCTGAAAGGAGCTTTAAAGACAAAGCTGGAGTTTGGTTATTCCAGCCCAGACTGCCTCCTGCCTCATTCAGGTGGTGTCGTCGCTGGGGGTATTTGGACCCCCTCCCCATGTGTGTATGGTGCCTCCTAAGATTTCCTAGAGGCTTTCCTGTATAGCGCATTAGTTTGTCCTGCAGTCCTCTTGAGGCTGTTAGTTGCGGTGCTCTTGGGCTAGTATCTCTGAGTGCACACAGTGTGCCACTGTTCATCTTGATTGTCCTTTCTGACACTATTCTTACGTGTCTCCTCTAATTTTGTTGATTCTAAAAACCGGTATTAATGAGAGGATCATTTTCTAACACGTGGAAATAAAACTGCTTGGCATTACAAGTCTTCTGGTAAAGATTACAGGACACTGAATGGAAATGTTTCACTGGGGACTCAGCCATCCTCTGAGCTGCCAGCCATTAAGGTCAACTTGAACTTATATTCCTACATTCCATCTTATATTCCTACACCCTAGTGTTACAGTTCACTGTAATCTCTGCTACACACATTCACAGTATGTATATATATTTTGGATAAATTCAGATATTTACAGCATTGATTTTGTGAAGCTTTAGAGAACATAAATGCCTAAGTCCACCCATTCAATTCCACATAGCATGGAGTAAGGTCCCAATTCTAAAAACATCCTAGGCAATTTGATGTACCAGAAGGGTTGAAAACTACTAGATATTTCATTCTTGGTAATTATCATGATAAAGAAATCTAAAATCTCACAGCCCATTGGTTAAAGTCACACACAATGACTGTACACCAAACTTCAGCAGTGAATGAGTCCACTCTGTTTGCTCAAAGCCAGAATTCTCTGTGCCATGGAGTTGTGGGGAGCGTGAAGTTCTGACTCTTGTCTCTGTGTGACAGAACCTGCTGTGGTGATGTACTGCAGTCTTTCCCAGCATCCCCCGGGGCTCCGGAGATGGCTGAGAGCCTCTGCTTGGCTAAGGGCACCCGCTTCCAAATGTCACGGCCCTTTAGAGACACTTCAGCCCCCAAGTATTTGTTTCAGTTTCTTTGAAACGGTGGCTTGGAGATGCACCCAGCAGATTTTGGTTCCTAAGGTGGTTAATATCTCTAAGATGCAATTATTAAAAATGTAGACTTGTCTGTAATAGAATTGGCCAAACATAGTATTTATCTCATTTCTTTTTGTCATGAAGTTCTACCTAAATTCTAGTTTCTTGACTTCCTAGCGCGAGAAGCTGAAAGTATTTATGAACAGATTCCAGCTGCTCACTAACTGCTCTAGACGCAGGCTTTCTTCCTGCTTCTGCAAAACTCCCAAGAAATCAAGTACAAAATTACAACAAAAAACAAAACAAAGCAAAACATTCTCCAACCCCACACATATGTCACGGAGAGTACAAGCAGTTATTTTAAATTGAGCATTCTGACTATTGTGGATTTTAAAAAGAATACCGGAGCAAAATGGATCTGTAGGGGAGAAGCTCCAGATAAACCGTAGTCCTCTGCAAGTTAAACTCCTAGGATCCAAAAGGCCCTATGATTAGTCCCGCTTTTGTGGCAGAGCTCATTTTTGTCACCGCGGAGACCAAGACCTTTCACTTCTTCCAGACTTTGCTTCTACCAGCCATCCTGTGAGTGCTTCCAAGTTCAGGTTGCCAACCAGTGCTGGCCGTGCCGAGTCTGGGGTGACACAAATGCATTCCAGATTTCCACTGGGTAATCTACCAATCTGTGCGTGCTAGGAGTCTATTCAGGCCATGCTGGGCCTGTGGAGAAAGGGTGCTTCTGTTCGCCTGTGCAAGCACTTGTTCATAGAGTGACTCCCTCCGGAACTTCTGGCCTTGCCTTCTGACTTACTGGAATTCTGGAGGATGCAGATTCTTGTCTGCACTTGTGATGCTTCACGTCCCTGTCTCTGCCTTGCTTCTTACTGAGAAAGCAGCAACGCTGCGTGCAATCTATTAGGGCGTGGAAGTGCAGGCAGCAAGTTTTATCAGCAACGTAAGTCTCCAGTGAAATAAGTACATGCAGAAATGCCGGGTTTTGTCGGGAGCTGGTCAAACACAACAGGATGGGGAAGTTGTTCTCTCAATGAATTAAGGCCTAATCTACGTAGACTCATGATCTCATCGCTGCAGACAGACACGTTGGCTTAAAGCACATTACTTAGTTCTCATAAGACCCACATTTCATCTATTCCTCATATTTTCCACAGATAGGTTTTGGGTGTCAAAATTATCTTGTTGTCCTGATTCATTAGTAATGTACTTCATAAATCTGCATAATTTATAGCAAAGGTGTTTTTAAAAAATCCATGCATACATTTATAAAGCCAAGCTGCTTAATGAATTTATGTGATTTGTGAAAATATGATGAATTTATGAGTGATCAGCTTTGAACAATCATGATTGTTAATTACTATGAAATAATTATTAGAGATTTAATAATCCATGTTTACAGTCATTCTGTCAGTTTAATTATTTATGAAGAAGAGTACAGATCAAATTATAAAAGCAAGAGGGAAAGCTTAGAGTGATTTATTTAAAAAAACATTTTTCTTACCTGAAATATTTTCATGCTTGAGCTTCTTACTGAATTTGGTAGTGGTAAGCTGAGTTTTGTCTTTTTACAGAACGAAGCAGTCTTCAGTGTTTTTACAGCATTGGTTATTACAGAAATTATACTTCTTTTACTTCTTGTCTTGAAGGGTGAACAAAATAAACAAACTGAAAATGCTACAATGAATGGTAAGTGAGGAGTGACTTACAGTACAAAAAACAGTGTAAAAAGGAAGACGAGCTTAAATATTGTTGTGTAAGAAAGTGAGGAAAATAATACAAGGATGAGGATAAGTAAAATGATAGGCTGGAACATCTGGGGAGTAAAGGCAAAGACAAAAAGGATAGTTAAAAACAGTTTCTAACACCTACATTTAAATCAACCTAAATAATCAAAGTACACACTCAAGATAGAGAATCCCCCCCTTAAATCTGTATGTACCAATCCTAAATGATTATTTATGCATACAGCTTTCTCTCACTTCAATTTCTATTTTCCCTCCGAGAATATAATTGAAAAACCGCATGCTCAAGTCTTAAAAAATATGAAACCAGGAAATAAAAGATGACATATCTGATGTAATAAAAGAGAAAAAAAGTAAATCTTAACATTTGAAAACCCAAGTTTCATGATAAAAATTCCCCCCATCGCAGCAAAGCGTAGCAACGTGCAAGATAAACAAGCGGCAGGGCTGCGACTGTTTTGCTAGCTGTGACGGGCAGGCAACGAATCTAACGTCATGCTTCTCCCCCGGCTGCTCCAGCCGTCAGTGCGTGGCGCGTCTCAGAAGCCATGCACGCTGCTGTACTTCCGCGGGTTGTCCACCGGATACGGGACACCAGGCTTGCCAGAGGGATGGCGCTGCCTGCTCTGCTTCGCAAATTCTATTCTACGTGGTTAATGAGCAAACGCACTCATCTTCCCGTGGCCACCTGACCTGGCCAAGGCAGCTCAGTCCCATGGTTCCGGTGCCTCTACAAATGAGGATGGAGGAAAAAGACTGGTTTTCCCTGCTATGGAATCGATATTCCCACATCCCTTGCTCAGTAGGGCCTTAAAGCTGTGGCAGAACAGTCCTGCACCGGCCCTGAGCTCTTCACTGTAGAAGGGACAGACAGGACTAAGTAGAAACAATGCTGTGTTATTTCCATGTAGGGACAGCGGAGGTGTCCCTGTGTCTTGTGGTAGGGCACTAGTGGCTCGGTAGTTATCCAGTAATGTTGACTATTCAGTGTACATATGTATTTAATCTTAAACTCAATAACTTCTAAGCCTCAAATCAGCATTTGGAATAGGAGTTTTCCCATGTGGATCTGAGATGTGTGAGTCAAGCTTCCTACTTAGGACCTTCTGGCAGCAAGATCTCTCACAGAACAATACCCAGATACTGAGTAATGCTGAGAAACATTGCCCGTATGAAATGGTACCTTAAAATCCATTCACTTGCACAATACAATGGCGGGTGCCAGTGTTCCCTCTGTCCTTTCAAGGAAGTGTGTGTGGGGGGGAGGTGGCCATTGGGGGCTGGGGCTCAGCAACCTGAGGCCCAAAGGGGCCTTGCAGGGCTCCTGGAGCTCTGCCCTGGGCTTCCCCCGCCACAGGGCTCGGGACAGGGTCGGGCCGGAGACGCCCACGGGCACCACAGCTCCAGCCTCACCACGCACGGCCAGGCGCGCCAGGCAGAGCTGTACCTGACTCACGGATATGGGCTCCTCCGCGCCGCGGTCGTCGCTGGCCTTGGGCACCTCAAGGCGGTCGATGAAGGTCTGCAGCTCCTTGCGGAAGGCCTTCATCTGCGCGTTGATGCGGTAGAGCAGCTCGTGCTCGCGGATGCGGCTGCCGTCGTCCTCCTCGTCCAGGAGGCCGAACAGGTCCCCGTTGGCCACATAGATGCGCGCCTCGGTGATGATGGTGCTGGTGTCGGCGATGAGCCGGTCGATGGTCTTGCCCAGGCGCTCGGCCTCCGAGCGGATGTCCTTGAGGTGCTGGCGCTCGCACAGGCCCCGCGGCCAGGGCGCGGGCGCGGGGTGCAGGGCGCGCGTGGGCGTCAGGCAGCGCGCGTGCCGCGCCTCCTCGGGCTCGCTCTCGCCGCCGATCGGGCCCTCGCGCTTGCGGTGCGGCGGGCGCGCGTCCTCGTCGCTCTCCTTCTTGCCCGCGTCGCTCTCCGCGTCGCTGTCGCGTGGGCTGCCGCGGATGCCCAGGTGCGAGGCCAGGTCGTAGCGCTGCATGTTGGACATGAGCACGCGGTTCTCGTACTGCAGCTGCATGACCTTGCCGCTCAGCTCGTTGATCTGCAGGCGTGCGGCCTTGAGCTCCTCCTGCAGCGCTTCGCTCTTGGCGTTGTCGTGGTGCCGCGCGCCGCTGTCATGGCCCGCGCCCGCGGAGGAGGACTTGTACTTGTACTTGGTGAGCTCCGCCGTGATGCGCTTGTTCTGCTCCTCTAGGTCGGCCACGTTCCGGCGCAGCAGCTCCGTCTCGTCCTCCACCAGCTGCAGGTGCTGCCGCAGCTCCGACAGCGACTCGCTCTGCTCGCGCATCAGCGGGTTGGCCGCGCCGTTGCTGAAGTCGTCGCCGCGCAGATCGTCCAGCTCCGCCTTCAGGCCGCGGTTCTCCACCTCCAGCTCCACGATCTTGCGGCCCAGGATGTTGGCCTCCTCCTCCACCAGCCGCAGCCGCAGCTTGAGCTCGGCCTCCCGGGTGCTGGGAGGGCCCCCTGCCTCTCCCTTGGGCAGTGGGCTGTCCAGGTCCCCGTAAAAGGACCTGTACTTCTGGAGCTCGTGCTCAAACCTGTCCTTCTCCTTGTCAATCTTGGCCATCTTCTTCCTCATCAAAGCGGCTTCTTCTTTGACGAACTGCAGCTGGCATTTCAGGTCTTCGTTGTCCTCCTCATTTGGGCAGGAAGAGGGAAAAAGATCATTTTTATGGAAATGACACAATCAGGCCACCTGTAGAAGTAATTTATTTTTTCTAATCAAGTGGAAACTGCACACGAAGTAGATATTATGTATTTTCTTCAAATCTCTTGCATTCCTAAAGATTAGTGCACTATAACATCCTGGAAACAAAAAGGGAAAGAAACAAGCAGAAAACACTTCCATCCCCACTAAACAGAGGGGCTTCTATGCTGTAACTGCAGACAACTGGCTGGTGGCCATCTCAACAATGATTCTGGTTCATTCTTTATGTAGTCGAATTTCCCCTACTGTACTCAGCGTGAGCTCTCGCTACCTTGCGGACACATGGACCCTAGGCAGTCCCTGCTGCTTCCTGAGCACCTGCTCTGAGATAGAAGACATAAAGTTCTTTACTAGTGATCGAAGTTAGTATTCACAATCACCAGATAAATCATTGCTGAAATGCTCAGTTTAAAGGTTTTCAGTGACGCATCCAAGGTTACCCAGTGAGTAAGAGGGGAGAGAAAAGGTGAAATTTAAATTTGGTTCTTTCTTAAAACTAAGGACTAAGAATGTCTCTATCATCTTTCTGCCAACCAGAAAAGCATCTTGCCTCCATCATTATTCAAAAGGGAATTGTTTGCAAGTCTGTTGAACAAGGAAGATTGGCCCAGGATTGGCCCTGCAGTGAAACCCTGGTAGCTACTGTTTGTACTGCCTTTTATCAGTCTGTACAGGAGGGAGTTAGTTCCACCTGCTGAAAAGATAACAGAGTAGACCCTACAGAAGCACTCTCATGTGTTCATATGATAGCCCTCAAAGCCTAAATAAGAAACAGCAGTCCATTCTTCCCCTGAGAGCTTTCAGAGAAGTACATTATCATGCCGAAGATGTATTTCCAAAGGATGATTATCTTTGTGTATGTGCTTGGGCTAATTGGCTATCTAGTCTCTGTGGACTTTGATTTCCCCATTTTATGTTTTCTTCTGGTGGTGCTCGTGATGGAATCCAGGGTCTATCTACACATGATAGGTAAATGCTCTACCAGTCAGCTGCACCCACAGCGCTCCTCACTTTTAAAATGGGAATAAAAATTCCTTTCTCATTCAGCGCTCAGCCCCTGCATCTGAGATGCCTTCTAGCAAGGAAGCAGGAGAGGTAAGAAGGGAATGAGTTTCTGCAAAAGGTTTTCCTAGGTATGGCCCAGAGCCTCCGAGAGGAAGAGGGCCATCAGGGCAGACGGAAGTCCCGCCCCTCCCGCCAGCTGCTGTTGCGCAGCGGAAGTGGTGGAGCGCTACACAGCGCGAGCACCTCAACGGCCTAGCCATACCCACCTTTTGAGTAGGTGTTACTTCTACCCCCTACAGATACGAGAGGTTTCTGGATACACAGGGCACACGTTCATAAGTGACAGGACGCAACAATCCATATTCAGACTTGATTGCAAGATACAATGTCTTGCACCGGTATGGAAATTTTTCATTTATTAATTTAATTGTTTTGATATGGCTTCTAAAGACCTCACAAGGCTCTGTCTGTTACCTTTCTACAACGTTCCCTTCTTTATTCACCCTGTGCGACAGGAGAAGCTGTTCTATGGACCTTATTTGCTGGGAAAGAACAGAGTAGCACTCTGGGTACAGTTTGCAAGTAAAGCAGCATACCATGTACTGATGGCACGTTGCTATGTGCCTGCAATGTAAAAGCAATTACAGTAGGGATGGAAGTGCTGGCTTTATATGAAATTATTAAATATTTTATAGCATCTGTATCGCTGCATAATTGATATGCATAACTTGATTGTTTTGCAGAAGTCTATTTGGACATTATTTCGACTCCTACAAGTAGCTAATTATAACACACATTTAGAGTTGCTTGATGTAGTAGTTCAAATCTTTCCACTTACCTCAGTGGGAGTCTGTTGAGCCTTTTTTTCTGATTTTGGCAAATCTTTGCTTCCTCTTCTTTTTAATGACAACTGAAACAGGATGAAAATGAAAACAGTTTGGTACATGATAACTGTGGTCATAACTATAATTTTAATTTAATTTTATGTCTTTAAGTGTCCTAATCTCATAAGACAAAGGCCAGACAAAGGTTAGTTCAATAATCATAAAGAAGGAAAAATACTCAAACTAGATAGATTTAGATATGCTTTTACTTTAAACTGAGAATGTAGCTGCCAATTATCTAATTAATTTGAAATGCAAGAAATCTGTGAAAATGCAGAAACACACAGACAACATATAGATTGGTAAAACAAATGTTCTATAGTTAGGATGAAAGCAAATGGCTGTTAGGATTTTGTATCACTAAAGTGTTGTGTATTGGAGTTACATCGCTAAAAGCGTCTAAAGACAAATTATCAGTGGATTTATGTAGAATTTAAAGAATCTCACAAACATGATATACAGAAGGTGTGAGTAAAGCTATAATGAATGCCTACATTTAAAAAATTGTATCGTTGTAAAAGACACATTGTTGTTAAACTCCCTCCAATATTCCCGCTCAGTTTGAACACATTTATCTCTCTGTTCTTGCCACTTTCTGAACAATTTTGGTTCCTAAGGTACACTATCCTGGCTGCTCAATATCCTGAATCCATTAGAAAAAATTACTCTCCATGGCCATTTTGATGTAGGAAAAGAGACAAAAGTTGTGTGGTGTCAGGTCAGGTGCATGACATGGATGAGAATATATGAATGTTTTGCCAATGTCCCTTTCTATTGAGGGACACAGCAAGGTTCACTGTGGTTTTGATGACACCTTATAAGACAGGAAAGAGAATTTCTAGCTCTACTTTAGAACAGGGCATGAACAATGTGGTGAGTGTGTTTGAAGTGAGAGGGAGCAGTTTGAGAGAGACTCATGACAGGGTGTTTTTTACTATAATAACCTTTTAAAAATGTATACACCATAGACTTTGGTCACACCTCATGCATATGCAATGCAATAGGGAGTGTGGGGGATGTCAAGAAACTAGAGGCTTCGGGTGCAGGTGGCTTAGGGGCCACTCCACCACTGATGTGAGGCAGGAATGTGGGCTTTTTGAAGACAAGTGGAGAACAGATTGTTATTTAAAATCTCTTACATTTTATTGGCTGTTCCTAATTAAAATTAAAACGCACAGGCCAGCGAGATAGCTCAGTGGACTAAGTGCCTGCTTAGGCAAGCGCCAGGGACTGGTTTGATCCCGGCACTACATGCCATGCTGCCCCCCCCCCAGGGTGCACTGAGCTGGTCACATGGCCTTGTGATATATAGTGACTTAAAAAAAATTCAAACATGCACATAGTAATTCACAGAATACTATCTAGTGCCAAACTGTTTCATAGACCAGCAGTACATAGTCGTTATAATCAGCTTCATTTCCCCCACCAATATAATCAGAGTGGTGTCACTGGGTAAACACTAATTATCCAAGTGTATGAATATCTACTGTAGGCCAGATATTGACTTGGAAACTCAGCATTCAATTAGACCCCACAGCTCCCACCAACAGACCTAATTTAGCAGGAGATACAAAACAACAAATAATCACAGCATGAGCTGGTAAGCACCATACTTCCCATTCTGCAGAAGAGAAGCCTATGTGAGATTAATAATGGCCATGTGGCAGATGGTGGAAAGAGGATTTGAACTAATTAGTATAGAAGCTAGGATGCTCTAAAGGGAAAGATAGGATGGGTAGAGTTTTAAACTAAGGGCAGGAATGGCTTCTAAACAGAGGGGGCTTTGGTTCCACCACAGCAGTCATTGAAGAACAGTAGCCCTCCTCTCTGCTTTCCCCAGCCATGGCCCTCTGCTATCCCATGGCCATGGGCCTCAACAAGGGCCACAAAGTGACTAAGAATGTGAGCAAACAGAGGCACAGCCGCCATTGTGGACGCCTCACCAATCACACCAAGTTTGTGTGGGACATGTTCTGGGAGGTGTGCAGCTTCGCCTGCTACAAGCTGCACAACATGGAGCTGCTCAAGGTCTCCAAGGACAAATGCGCCCTCAAGTTCATCAAGAAAAGGGTAAGGATGCACATCCATGCCAAGAGGAAGTGTGAGGAGCTGAGCAATGTGCCTGCTGTCATGAGGAAGGCAGCCGCCAAGAAGGACTGAGCCCCTCTGCAATAAAGCTTTGCAGAAAAAGATAAAAAAATAATAAAATAAAATAAAAAGAGGGGGTTTCATGAATTTGCAAACAATTGAAAATTGAAGGCTTCCCATTGTAATTTGAAGCCCACATCCAGTGTTAAAGGAAAGTGCATGTTCAGGCCCAGACGGTAGCAGGATGAATAGTTGCAACTGTTCTCACTTGGTATGAAACTGAAACCACAGAGACAAATGAGTAGTCCATGTGGTCACTCATTTCTAGTTCTTTTCAAAAAGAAATTCCCTACACTGCTTGTATATTCTTAGAGGTGAAAACTGGAGACTGACTCAGCATAACCACAAGTGACTAAGGGACCAATCAGCAGAAATGATTCCCCAAATACCAAGAACATGGAGAGTTACATTAGAGAAACTAGAATATTCCAGGTAGGGGCTACCTTTAGGAAGCACTATATTCATTTTGATAAATATGTATTGAATGAATGTATTGATGAATTGCATATTGAATTCATTCCACTGTATGTATATTTGGGAAGCCCTAATACATTTCACAAGGTATGCATGCCACAACTGTACTAAAACCAGCTCTGCTCTTTAAGGAGTTCCTAACTTGCTCTGCATGGTCTGTGTAGCCTACAATTTATACAACAAGAGGAAAGCAATGATAATGTATAAACAACAGAAAACTGGAAGAAAACCAATCATTAAGACCCAAGCCAGGCCTGCTGAGGCAGGAACTCTGGAGATGGGGCCCAGCCATTGGTTTTTGGCGAAACTCAGTAGGTGACCCCTGAACTGCAGCTCCCACAGGTCTGTGCGCAATGGAATCAGATTCTGACCCACATTGCCCTGCTCTTTGTCACTGCTGTCTACAAGACCACAGAAGACAATGTTTAATCCTCCTGAGGGCTTGAGACAGAGGCTGGTGCTGGCTCGGGATCCCGTCCTGGATGAGGTAGCCGCTGCCTTCAACCTGGCAGATGCGCAGTCACCGGAGGACAATGAAGATAAGGGAGAAGGATTAAAAAGCACCCCAGAATGACACAGGAGAAGGGGGACATGAGATGAGCTGGTGCTCTAAGTCAGAGCTTGAGGGACAGGGAATAAAGTTTGGATTTGTGTCACTCAGCACCAATTAGTATTAGTGATGGATTTTAAGGAAAGAGTGTCATTCTTAGACTGTCACAGCTCAGAAACACACACAGAAGCTGCTGTCTGAATTGCCATGGGATAAAAGAATGACATGCAGAAGTTATGGGGGCAAGTATGGTGTAGTTCTAAGAACATTTTTCTGGTCTTCGCATATCCCATTTGTTGAGTTTCTTGCATATCCATGAATGTATAATATATATTGCATACTATATGTAGATGTACTATATATAATATGCAATCCATACTATATGCATACATAAATGCATACTATATATATTATATGTGATCCATACTATGCATACACATCTATGTATACTATATATATATATATATATAACTGTATGATAAGCAACTATGACTAACAATATGTTTGAGGAATATTTTGCTCGCCTCCTTAAGAGCTGCTTATGATAGAAAGCCTGCCGCTAGCTAGCCTTTTAGCTAACTCAGGGCAATCAATGAAGAGGAAAGAGAGTAAGAACAGGAAATATGGTTCTGAATCTGCAGAATCAGAGAAAATAATCCACCTCTCAAAAGCATGCTGACTCCTGCCCACCTCAGTGAGTTCCCATTCTCTCTACTTTAACCCCACATGGTTTTACACTATAAAAGTCCCTGGAAGAGACAGCTTCCTGGGGAACTACCCGCTCAGGTCCCCTCCTGTCCCTCTCTTGGACAGGAGCTTTCCTTCTCTCAGTAAATATATTCTGCTCATAAAAAAAAGAGCATGCTGAATTTCAGCAGAAATAAAATTGAATAAGCAGCAGGACAAAGGGTTTGAGGACCGAGCATGCAGAGTTGGTGAGCTGCTGCTGCAGGGAGCGGGCAGGGTGGCTGTGGAGATGGGATGGCAGCGACGCTGCAAAGCTTGGGGCCCGCTCAGGTGCTGGGAAGCTACCCCGCTACCCCACAGGCAATGCTAAAAAGAGACCTCTGAGTTCATGAAGAACAAATGCTGAAACTAGGGCATGCTTTTCTACAAGGTGTTTTCTATTTTACTTTGATTTAAATATCACCCAAGTTGTTAAACTCAAATCAAGCTCTTAAAAAAAGGTTTGATTTCAATTGCCTCTAAGGTGCCTTGAGGATTCTAGAACCTGTAGTATCACATTAAATTTTTTGATAAATATTTAATCATTTTTCATATTCCAGGAGGAATTCAGACTTCTATGCTTCAAACTTCTATGATAACATTATACATGGACTTCTGTGATAAAGATGAAAGATTTATAAGGGTAAAAATACTGTCAGCCCCTTCGTGTAACAGTAACACTGTTGATCTGCTCCAGCCGACCTGCCCGTCTCCATCTACTACAAGCAGTTTGGGAGGCAGGAACAAAATTACAGATTTTTGTCTTTATTGGTAGAGAAGGCATTTCAGATCATTCTCCAGATAAATACATGGGAGTCATTTCTTGTCCAGTTCTTAATTCTTTAAGCTACATATATTTGTTTTTGTTTTTGTTTTTTTTTGGCAGAACCGGGGATTGAACTCAGGCCCTTGGGCTTGCCAGGGAAGTGCTTATTCTACTGAGCTGTCTCCCCAGCCCCCTTAATTCTTTGAATTCCAAACCACAGCTTGTCCAAATGAGGCTGCTGTTCTTTTCACCCATGTAAAGGCCAGAAGTTAGAGAATTTTGCCAAAGATTATGCTTGTTCAGCAAGTATATAAGTAGCTTGTTTGTGTTCTAAGAATGTTTTGAGATTGCCTTTCTTTCTC